TTATCTTCAGACTGGCAGACCCCTGAACCCAATAACAATCACAACATCATTCAAATTAATATTTTTCATTCCCAAACGCATGCAGGCTAAACAGTGCTGTCATTGATTTGCATGTTTTTTTTAAACAACAACAATAAAGTCCTTATTGCCATCTCTTCGTTATTTGCCCTGGCTGCTCACGTGTGCAGAGAGCAGTGATACATGATTAAGCCCTGGTGGGAGGGGTGTGACCCAAAAGAAAAAAAACAAAATACAATAAAAAAGGGCGGGGTGAAATGCATCAAGGTGGTAGGAGATATGTAGACTGAGTCCGCTCCGTATCATTTAATCACCTGTGCTGGTCTCGGTAGTAGTGGCAATCCTTTTACTTGACTGTCACAAGAGGAACCTAACATCAGAGAGTGACCTATATGCTCAAATAGAAGTGCCAACATCCCCATATAATAATCGACAACACAACCTCTCAATAATAATGGGACTTTTTAGACAACCGTCTAATGATAAGTAGTTCTGAAGGAGCAAAGGATTGCTCATCTGCTGTCTTGGGACTACTTAACTTTATGTGGACCAGCTTGATCTACACATTTGGACACGTTTTCAGGGCCAAGGAGTTTTTCCAGCATTTTGAGAACTTAACGATTCCATTGCCTTTCATATGTATGTAGCTTTAAAGGCATAAGAGTCTGCACATCATTTTGGGTGTTCAAATAAATTTTCAACAATAGTAAGGTGCTTGTGGATCACACTGCTCTTCTTGAGATTCTCCTGAATCCTGCGTCAAGGACTGTTTCTTCACAAATAAATATATATTTTTCTCTGCCCCTGAGAAATGGTTTTATAAATGAAATTTAGCTCCGCCCCTGAGGAATAGTTTGACATGTCAGTCTAAATCCTACACATACTAATGCAACAATAGTGAATATATTGATATCTTAATATTTGTTATGTGTGGATGAATGGCATGAATATTTTTGATTGGCGATTTGATAGGATATGGTTGCCTGTAATTTTATTATGTTGTAATGATTTTGCTGAAATAAAATATTTCTGGATTTTATCCATATTTCCTTGTATTGCATTAGTGCCTAAAACGTCCCATGATTATTTAAAGGTTGTGTTGTCACAGGAAGGACAGGGCTGTTTTGATACATAGGCTGTGATTGGTAGCCCAGCTTCCCCTTCTATGAGCTGCGTAAGGGGCATGATGGCAGCTCCCAATGGAGGAATAGGCTGTGGTTGATAGCCTAGCTTCCCCTTCTATGGGCTGTGTAAGGGGCAAGATGGCAGCTCCCAATGGAGGAATAGGCTGTGATTCATAGCCTAGCTTTCCCTTCTATGAGCTGCCTAAGGGGCAAGATGGCAGCTCCCAATGGAGGAATAGGCTGTGATTCATAGCCTAGCTTCCCCTTCTATGAGCTGCGTAAGGGGCAAGATGGCAGCTCCCAATGGAGGAATAGGCTGTGATTCATAGCCTAGCTTTCCCTTCTATGAGCTGCCTAAGGGGCAAGATGGCAGCTCCCAATGGAGGAATAGGCTGTGATTCATAGCCTAGCTTCCCCTTCTATGAGCTGCGTAAGGGGCAAGATGGCGGCTCCCAATGGAGGAATAGGCTGTGATTCATAGCCTAGCTTCCTCTTCTATGAGATGCGTAAGGGGCAAGATGGCGGCTCCCAATGGAGGAATAGGCTGTGATTTGATAGCCTAGCTTTCCCTTCTATGAGCTGCCTAAGGGGCAAGATGGCGGCTCCCAATGGAGGAATAGGCTGTGATTCATAGCCTAGCTTCCCCTTCTATGAGCTGCGTAAGGGGCAAGATGGCAGCTCCCAATGGAGAAATAGGCTGTAATTGATAGCCTGGCTTCCCCTTCTATGAGCTGCGTAAGGGGCAAGATGGCAGCCCCCAATGGAGGAATACCCACGTCTTGGGGGACTGTGGTTTCTGTAACCATTGATAAAGGAAAGTTACTTTAAAACCAAGAACACAAAATATTAGTCACTTGTACATTTAACTAACAAGTCTGTTTAAGTCTCCCTCCACAACTGCAGCCAGTTACAAGATCCTTGGTGACAGGTACTTGGTTAATAGCTAAACCTGAGGCAACAGAACAATGTTTTTTTTTTGAATTCTGAAAACTAATATCTAACAAATGTAAATTGTTTGAGACATTAAATGTAAATGATGGGGGGGGGAAAACTGTGTTTTAGGGTATGCATTTTGGAAACGGAAGGGGGCTTGTGAATGTGACAACTAAAATATTTTGGAGTGAATGTGGACTAAACCCGTATGAATTTGACCTAAAAATTCCATGTGATAATTGGATTTTTTTTTTTTTATATTTGCTGGGATGCTAGCTGTTTTCTCTATTAATACAGTTAACTTGCATTCTAGCTCCGCCACTCAGAGGCAGGCATCGTATGGTGGGTTGTGTGACTATGTCTGTCTATCAATAGTGAAGACAAATATTGCCAGAGACACTAAACCCATCCAAACTCACCCAGGGTATAGGTCGGTCTCGTTTTCAGACTTCTTCCTAAGCCTTTTATTTTTTTTTAAATCTTTCTTTGTATTTTTTTTATTTTTTTTTTTTTTTTTTTAATAGTCGATTGATGATGAATGTTGGCAAAATGTTCAATTGATAATGTTTTTTTTAACTCACAACATTCAAAAATTTTAAAAAACACAAGCCTAGAAAAAATAATTGGGTAAAGAAGTTATCACCGTGGATTTGCGGTCACTTTGCTCTTCATTTCAACATAAAATCAGCCTTTTAATTGGCTTAGGAATCTAACAACCCGCCGGTAATCTGGTAAGAGTTGGTTGTTTAGTTTTCGGCTGAAATAAACTTGATAAAAAAGCAATTTAAAGAATAAAAAAAAAACAATACGTTTGTCATTTGTTAGCACTGTTTTATGAGCTCAGATTCATTTGTTTTACATCGACAAGCAATTTTATTTTTGCTGCATATTTTGTATTTTTAAAAACGTCAGCAGATACTTGGTTAACAGTACACATGAAATAATTTTGTTACATTTAAAATTTTGGTCATTCAACACAAATTCTGATTGAATTAATTAATCGAAATAGTTGCAAAAAGTATTTAAACAATGCAAAGGATCATTATTTCTAAATATATATTCAAACCTTTTTTTATTTTTTATCTTAGCTCTTGGACAGTGTTTGAAATGTCTAGTCTGCAATATGTGGTTAAAATATTTGATTTTTTAAAATCATTTTATTTGAAAATATATTGGAGAAGAGTAATTTTTGTGATAAATAACTTTTTGCACTTTTGTAATAATATTTATTTTAAACATATATTTATGCTGGTGTTACTAAATGATATTGTAAAAATAAAAAACTGCCAGACAAAGGAAATCTGCTGCATGTGATGACTTTTTAATATTAATGAAATCATTTTTACAGGTTGAGATTAAATATCATTTTTCAATTCTTTAATATTCATTGAAGGGTAGGGGGGCTTATAAATGCACTTAAAAAGCTTTATTTGTTCTGTAGTAAATATGTCGGCTTTTTGCCTGTTTTTATTGTGAGCAGAAAAAAGTCATAATGTGTTCTGAATGAAGAACTTGTACCAGGGCAGACCAAAGTGACTGCAAATCTACTGAAACTTCAACTAAATTTTATCTTGTTAAGATTGACATGGAAGCATTTTATTAATGCATGGCAAAAACACCCACAGCACCTCTACAGTATATGATTTTCTTTTAAATGTGAATGCTTTTGAAAGTCACTGAATATTTTTTGTTTCAGCTGCAAAGTTAACAAATGTGCACAAACAGTGTGTAAAATGGAACTGATAAAAAAAAAACTGCTGGCTTATTTGAGCAGTATTTAATGTAATTTGTAAAGAGTATTTCAAGAATATTACAATTATATAATAATTATAATTGCAGTTTTATGATCTTTCTGCTGCAGAGTTTTCACTGCATCTCTGCGTACCATAAATATCCACAAATGTATTGTAGCTTCAATGTAATCTTCAGTATAAGATTTGAACAATGATTTTAACATTTGGTTAGTCACCGCACATTTTTATTTTACATATTTTTGGGGTTTCAGGAAGCTTTTAAAATCCATTTGTAAGATTTAAGAGTTTGATAAAAACATAGTAAACTTTAACCAAAAGTGTTTAGTTTAGTAAAAACTACTAAAGCAATTTTAAATCATGTTTTTATATATATAAAGAAGAAATTCCTTTAAAGCAGTCCCATAGTGGACTTTGGTTTTGCTTTAGTGGACAACAGAGGACAAACTATGGTTCTGTTGCCATTCTTCTGACTTGTATAAGAATATTCAGATGTAGTAAGTTTTAATCATCCTTTTTTTTTTTTTTTTTTTTTTTTTCTAAAATGCTTAGGTTCCCGACTATCAGTTCCATTTTGCTTACAAATGAGTTTGTTTTTTATACTATATTTTTCTTTAATTTTATGGTCGATGACTGGAATAATTGGCAGCTGTTTCTCATTTATTTTCTCATATTTTTATTCCAGGACTTGCCTCTGAAGCAGGGAGTGTCTGCATTAAAAATGACCTGTAGTTCTCTGCTTCATAGGTTAGAAACTTATTTTAAATATTTTGTGGCTACAGACAGTCCCATTAAATAAAAATTTAAAAAAATTTTAAATTCAAATTGGCTTTGAATGTTTTGCCCATTTTTAAGGGGGTATTCTAGTTTTTCAATTTGGCTAAACTATTCTTTAATGGCAGTAAATTTTAAATTATGTTACTGTTGTTCACACTTTTTTTAAGAAGTTTTTTAGGAAAATGGCACTGCCTAAATAGTTTGGGCATTTAAAATTGTGTGTGCCTTATTGCAAATTTTACTTTCTTTAAAAATTGTTTAGTTCTTTCCAAATTTCAACATTTATTTGGGAATTTAAAAAAAAATTATATATTATTGGAAAAAAAATATAAAGTCACCTAATTCCATTGGGACTGCTGGCCATTACCGGTGAAAATGTGTGTATTTACTTTTGGATTGTACACTGCAGATGCCTCATCTTCCACCATGGGCGGTGCTCGCAGTTCCTTTACCACCACTTCCAGTCCTTCTAATTACTCTACCTCACTCACCGATACCAAAGCTATGCAATCCTCTGCCACGGGGGTAAGTAAGCCAGGGGTAAGTGAACCGCTGTTAGCCAATAAAACGGGCCGGCAGCAGACCGCGCCATTAAGATGGACGGTCCTAAACATTTCTCCACCCCCGGAAGACCTGCTGGATAGCAGTCAGATGTCCTGTCAAGATGAAGGGGGTGGACTGGAGTCTGAGCAGAGTTGCAGCATGTGGACAGAAGACTCCATGTCTAATTTCAGCAACATGAGTTCCCATTCTTACAATGATAACAATGAGGTCCCACGTAAGTCACGCAAGCGAAACACGAAGCAGAAGCCGGGGGCCAAGAGACGAGATTCCAACATGGACGTTTTTGATGCCGACAGCGCCAAAGCTCCACATTACGTTCTCTACCAGCTTGCCTCGGACAACAAAAGCAACTCCCAGGCTGGAAATGGGTTGGTATTCGTGTTTACTACACGCTCCCTCTATCCTTTTGGCACATCCTGCTTTTCACTCACACTTCGTACTGCAGCACTGGATTATATAGGTCACCTAAACTAATGTTTAGGACTTTATTGGGGAAAAAAAAAAATCATAAATTATGACTCAAATCAACTTTTAGTGCCAATACAAATGCATTGCTGTCATAGAACTATACTCGTTCTCATGTATCCTATAATGCAGGGGTGGCTAACCTGTGGCTCTCCAGCTGTTGTGGAACTACATTTCCCATGAGGCATTACAAAGATGGGAAGTTACTGACTTGCAGAGGCATGATGGAACTTGTAGTCCTGCAGCAGCTGGAGAGCCGCAGGTTGGCCACCCCTGCTATAATGCATCTGCGGTACGAAGGGCTTTGGTGTCTTAAAAGCTTTTTCAGAGATTTCCAATCTAGCGTTGATTTGTATTGATTTTTCATTACGAAAGCACTGTGATCACCAAACCTGAATAATATCAAACATACATAAGCTGATTTTTCTGATCTAAAATTCTATTCAAAAGCTATATTTCAAGTTCAGTGGACTTTAATGAGTTGGATCAACAGTTGGCTTCTTCTATTTCTTAGCTTACTCAAAGCCACTTGAGTTCCCAGCACCCTCATCTTCCATGGCAGTTAAGGAGTTGGCCTAATGTTGCCCTTATACTTTTCTTTGACTTCATGTAAATTGTTTAGAATACAGAGGAAGAAGCTTGGCACTGTCTCTTGGCTTCTTAATGAACTGAATGAGGAGACAATCAGGAACTCCTCAAGAAATAAGAAGCCAATAAGGGATTCAACCAGATTATTTCCACCTTAACAGTTGAATTCCGCCCAAAACTTCACCAATGCTAAACCTACTCCCACCATCATTTCAAGCCTAATCTATCTAAGTAAAGAAAAGATCACTATACATCCCTATTTTGCTGGTCCCGTCCCAGGCTGAGCTGTCGGCGGTGGTTTCTGTGTAGAGTAGAGGCAGCAGACAATGGATGTCCCATAGTAAATCTATGGTTCGTGTCAGCTCCTCTGCATTTCTCAGCCGTTGTCCGCTTTCTCTATAGAGAAGCTTCTGTTGGAGGCCGGACTGGAGCGGCTTCAAAATAGGTAAGTATAATGATTTTTTTTTTCTTTACAGGTTGGATAGATTAGGCTTCGAATGGGGTTGAAAGTAGGTTTAGCATTAGATAGGTTTTTGGTGGAATTCGACTTTTTTTTTTTTTTTTTTATTCTTTCGAATCATGTAATTTTTATTAGGAATTCCACTTTAACTGTTTGTCTTAACAGGCCTTAGACTTTATTTGGCAGTAAGCTATGCACAGTGGAGGCATCTGTTTTGTTAGCATCTGCTTGTTCAAAAATATAATTCAACTTCACTGTCGGAACTAGCCCACAGAACTTTTTAAAGGGGCAAAAGCCTATGGTCTCATTGTTACTGATACATTGAAATCGAGTGTTCTGTATATTTTGCCCAGTTACATTCATTATCAAGCCTCCACTTTATAAATGCATTTTGTTTTCCCATTCAATTGATAAGAGTGTTCCCACTTGTATTCCACTGCACTGTTTTTTGTTCTTCTTTTTGTTTCCAGTTATATATGCCTTTTGGATATATGTGGAGCTTGCAATGAAGAGCAAGTCTACTCTGGTCACAGTGAGGTTTTTCTTCATCTGAAGTTATAAGTAGCAGTGAGACCATATGCTTACTTTTATTTTTTTGCTATAAAAAAAAAAAATACAAAATCATCAGAAAGATCTGCCTTAGTCCTTAGTATTGTGCCTCCATATAGTGTCTTTATTCCATACACCTCTTACATCACATAGGGGGTTATTTACTAAAACAGGAGAGTGCAAAATCTGGAGCAGCTCTTCATAGAAACCAGTCGGCTTCCAGGTTGTATTTTTTTTTGTCAAAGCTTAATTGAACAAGCTGAAGTTAGAAGCGGATTGCAAACATAAAAATGACTACGCTTCCTCTCCCATAAACTACTTTAAATAAATAAGTGGGGGTGAGTGGGGCTCTGGAGGGGAAGCACTAATTGGAGCACTGCGCACAGAGAATTGCTATGGATAGGGAGATTTATACTGTATCACTTAATATTCACTCCGGATATGGATGGGGGTTTCTTTGCGATTTTTTTTTTTTTTTTTTTTTTTAATGTTTGCACAATTATTGGGACTATATATATATATATATATATATATATAATATATATATATATATATATATATATATAATATGTGTATGTATGTTTCATACAATTTTCCTGTATACACAGTTTCTTGGCATTGTATATTTAGCACTATTGTCGCCGGCGCCTCTAGGCCCTTTAAGAGTTTTAGAAGCCTGGAGGCAGGGCGGGGTTTTAGGGTCATGTGACTGTTGTGATTCGCGGTCACATAATCGGAAAAGATCGGGACCTTTCCGGGAGTCGCGGAGATATGTGCTGGGAGCTTGCAGGGCGCGCGCTCTCATCACATATGTATTTTCTAATTGCACGCAAATATCAAGGCCCAGACGTGAAGGCTGCATATTTGCGTTCGGCGTAAGGGGTTAAGCACCTTGTATTTACTTATTGGTTTATTTGGGATTTAGTCTCCGGGGAAGAGGGATATAATTGCCAGCCCACTGGGCATTATAGCACATGCACATTGTGTAGTAGGGAGTTCATTCACATATTTAATGAATCATTTAAAGTAGTTTTTGGGAGAGGCAGCTCAGCAATTTTTCTGTTTGCATTCACACATTTGTTCACCGGTACACATTTGTGATTTTGCTAGCAGCAGCCAGTCTAATGGATCAGTCCTCTGCGCAGGTTATATTCACACACACTAGAAGCGGATTGGTTTCTATGTACAGCTGCACCAGATTTTGCACTCTCCAGTTTTAGTAAATCAACCCCAATGTTTCTGGATTTTGCAACATTGAAGAGGTAGCCTGCCTTTACTTCCAATAGTACAGGTTAAGTCAGTAGACACTCATCATTACCACCTTAGCTAGTATTTAACTAAAATCGGTCTGCCTTTTAATACTACTGAAATAAATTAATTGTGTCCTTAATAAATAAATCAATAACTTCATGTATTTAAATTGCCATCTATACAAGTGCCATCCCTCTAATTAATATACCATTCTGTGAACTATTACATAATGAAAATATAGTGAACTCTCTCCCACGCATAAAGATTTCTACATAAAATGGAACAAAAAGTCCAATTTCCATAAAAAGCTGAGTGAAATGACTAGTGCTCAAACTTCACAATCTTCAATGTGTGCAAATCATTCTGTACTCCCCTCTTTCACTACCCTCACCAAAGTTCCATAACCCCCTACGAAGCTTTAATTGGTCTCAAGAGCTTTCAAGATGGTTACTATCTCCTCCAGTGGTTCCAGTGTCCCCCTCTGTATGAAAAAACTTCCCACGGGTCTTCTTCGGTAAGGGGAGAAAAGAGCCAGGAGGCAGCCTCCGGTAGTGTCATTCTGTTTTATTTAAACCATAAAAATATTTAAAATCCACTTAATCACAATGCTTGCCATGTATACAAGCCATAGCGCATGTGTTACTCCTGTATCCACCTGCATTCTACCAACTGGAAATACGAAAGCAGAAGTAACGCAACGAACCCCTCCCAACGTGTCCTGATGTCCTCAGGAACGACCCACCTTAGATAATGTTTTGTTAAAAAAAATACTCCTTCGCTTGAGGTTTCCTATATCTGCAACTTTGTGTCCCAAAATAAGGATCTCACATAAACCTTTTAGAAGACCCAAACAAAGTAGTAAACAACCTTAAAACAGAGAACATATCCGCTTTTGCTCATTGAAGGAATACGTATTCTTTGTATAATCCTTTGGTAGTCAATTTACCTACCTTACACATAAAAAAAAAACATGTTGATTCTTACAGCCATTTACCCATGATGTCCTGAACTATGGTTGCCGATTTCTAAGCAGTACGAATGCTCCTAGGAATGTGACTAAATAATTTCTAAAGAGGCCATGATATTCATAACTATTTAATTAGCTTTGCTAATGTTGCTGGTTATGCACCATATTCATTCATTGTGAATTTACTTAATTACCAAATTCAATGCAACGCAATTGTCTATGTAATCGTGATGTGCCTGTGACTTGGAGGTACGGCTGCCATCTTAAAGCTCTACTAATACTGAAGCGGCCTATTGCATTTGGTGCTCATACTCTTTCACTTCCACAGTCAGAATGGTTCTTTGAACTGACCTTCTTTGAGAGCATCCTTGACCAAAGCCAAAATTTGAAAGTGATTCTGCCACAACCATTATCTGTTCAAATACGATCCAATTCCACTACATCCTGAGTTCCAGGACCACTCGTAGAGAGTGTTAAGTCTAGTACGCCCCTTGGGGGTTAGGAATAGTGCCCCAGCATTGGTGTCAGTGGGAGGAATAGTGCTCCATCATTGGTATCAGTGGGAGGAATAGTGCTCCATCATTGGTATCAGTGGGAGGAATAGTGCTCCATCATTGGTGTCAGTAGGAAGTATAGTGCCCATCATTGGTATCAGTGGAAGGAATAGTGCCCCATCATTAAGGCCAGTGAGAGGAATAGTGCCCCATCATTGGTGTCAGAGGGAAGAATAGTGCTCCATCATTGGTGTCAGTGGGAGGAATAGTGTCCCATCATTGGTATCAGTGGGAGGAATAGTTCCCCATCATTGGTTTCAGTGGGAGGAATAGTGCCCCATCATTGGTATCAGAGGAAGGAATAGTGCCCCATCATTAAGGTCAGTGAAACAAAATGATGTTCCACCCTGGTGATTGTTGATCTTCACAGTCATATTTAGACTCCCCGCACAGCTGCTAAATGGAGGTTAATAGTACGAAGTCTGTCTGACTGCATATCTATTTCTGTGATTTCAGCCAAGCTTTAGGTTAGGGAAGGGTTGGGCAACTGCGACCCTCCAGCTTTTGTTCCTGTTTATGCACCATATTCATTCATTGTGAATTTACTAAATTACCAAATTCAATGCAACAGAATTGACTATGTAATTGTGATGTTCCTTTGGCTTGGAGGTACGGCAGCCATCTTAAAGCTCTACTAATACATGAGTGAATGTTGCCCACCATGGAGCCACTCGGTTGACTGATAAAATAAGAAAGCCGACAATGCATTAACTGTAAAGCATGGACATCAGTAGGCTACAATACTCTGCTGGATAAACATAGATGGTTGTGAAGCATACAGACTTTTAGGATGGTCTCCTCATGTATGATGAGAAGGGCAGTGTACATCCCAGCAATTGCAGCTACTGATTGAATTAATGGTTGATCAAAGCACAGGAATCTTACGTGTACACTTTATTTGTTCAAACCTTGTTTTGGGGGTCTTAAATGCCCCTGAAGCAGCCTATTGCATTTGGTGCTCCTACTCCTTCACTTCCACAGTCAGGATGGTTCTTTGAGAGCATCCTTGACCAAAGCCAAAATTTGAAAGTACATCCCAGCAATTGCAGCCACTAATTTCTTCCATGCTTGTGAATAAATGGTTGATCAAAGCACAGGCATCTTATGTGTACACTTTATTTGTTCAAACCTTGTTTTGGGGGTCTTAAATGCCCCTGAAGCAGCCTATTGCATTTGGTGCTCCTACTCCTTCACTTCCACAGTCAGGATGGTTCTTTGAACTGACCTTCTTTGAGAGCATCTTTGATCAAAGCCAAAATTTGAAAGTGAATCTGCCACAACCATTATCTGTTCAAATACGACCCAGTTCCACTACATCCTGAGTTCTGGGACCACTCGTAGAGATTGTTGAGTGTAGTACGCCCCTCGAGGGTTAGGGGCCGATGTGAAGATGTGTACAATATATATATGTACAGCGCTGCGTAAATTGACGGTGCTATATAAGTACCTGAAATAAATAAATAATAGTACAGGGTAAGATATTGGGATAACAATAAGGGAATGCATGTGAGGGATTTCTTGATCTGGATCAGAGATCTCCAAACTTTTTTAAACAAAGGAACAGTTTTACGACCTTCAGACTTTAGGAGGGCGGGACTGTGGTGAGTGGAATAAAAAAATTAAATTGGTATCAGTGGGAGGAATAGTGCCCCATCATTGATGTCAGTGGGAGGAATAGTGCCCCATCATTGATGTCAGTGGGAGCAATAGTGCCCCATCATTGGTGTCAGTGGGAGGAATAGTGCCCCATTCATTGGTGTCAGTGGGAGGAATAGTGCCCCATCATTGGTATCAGTGGGAGGAATAGTGCCCCATCATTGGTGTCAGTGGAAGGAATAGTGTTTTATCATTGGTGTCAGTGGAAGGAATAGTGCCTTATCATTGGTGTCAGTGGAAGGAATAGTGCCCCATCATTGGTGTCAGTGGAAGGAATAGTGCCCCATCATTGGTATCAGTGGGAGGAATAGTGCCCCATCATTGGTGTCAGTGGGAGGAATAGTGCCCCATCATTGGTGTCAGTGGGAGGAATAGTGCCCCATCATTGGTATCAGTGGGAGGAATAGTGCCCCATCATTGGTGTCAGTGTGAGGAATAGTGCTCCATCATTGGTGTCAGTGGAAGGAATAGTGCCCCATCATTGGTGTCCGTGGAAGGAATAGTGCCTTATCATTGGTGTCAGTGGAAGGAATAGTGCCCCATCATTGGTGTCAGTGGAAGGAATAGTGTTTTATCATTGGTGTCAGTGGAAGGAATAGTGCCTTATCATTGGTGTCAGTGGAAGGAATAGTGTCTTATCATTGGTATCAATGGAAGGAATAGTGCTCCATCATTGGTGTCAGTGGAAGGAATAGAGCCTTATCATTGGTGTCAGTGGAAGGAATAGTGCCTTATCATTGGTAGGAATAGTGCCCCATCATTAAGGTCAGTGAAAAAAAAAGTGTTCCACCCTGGTGCCTGTTGACCTGCACAGTCGTATTTAGACTCCCCGCACAGCTGCTAAATGGAGGTCAATAGTACGAAGTCTGTCTGACTGCATATCTATGCTGTGATTTCAGTCAAGCTTTAGGTTAGGGAAGGGTTGGGCAAGTGCGACCCTCCAGCTTTTGTTCCCCATGAGTCCCTGCAAGACTGACAGTTAAAAAGCACGATTCCCAGAGAAATGATGGGAGTTGTAGTTCCACAACAGCTGGTTGCCCACCCCTAGGGTGGGGAGAGTAGCCCCTGATACATGTCCTGTAATCATTCCTTGACTTCTGGTTGCAGCTTTGGTCTCTACTACCGATCAGAAAACTCGGCTCAGGACCGGTGTATTACAATATGTGATGAGACGAGCGTTGAGTGCTTTGTTGCCACACTCGCGGAATGATACACTAGTAGTACACAAGGAACATATCACTTATAAAGTGTATCCCCTGGTTTTATTATATAGATAGAGGGGGGAAAAAAGAGGATACATCCTTGAAACTCACGTAGGGCTAGTAACCTTATAACAGCAGAAAGTGCCCTGTGGCCTCATGATCTGACTAGTCTTTAGTAAAGATCATATTGCCACCAATAGAGTCCTTTCCATAAAACAGATGCCCCCGTTGTGTGTAGGTAATCCACAGACCCTGTAGTAGATTAGTAAAGAGAATAGTCCCCTCTACATTCACACTCTAGTTTATAGTGGTCTTTTCAAGCATGGAACTCATTGCACTTTAATTTCATTCAGAGCGTCAGACACCCAGAAAGGAGGGAAAGAAGAACCCTGTGTTGTGTGAACAGTTTCCCAGTAAGAGCGAGGGAAAAGAACTGAAGATCGTGGTGCAGCCGGAGACTCAACATCGTGCTAGATATCTGACGGAGGGGAGTCGCGGTTCTGTCAAAGACCGCACACAACAGGGATTTCCTACGGTTAAGGTAAGTGTTTGGAGATAGGCTACAGAGGAGAGCTTGTTGGAACATTGAGGATTCTCTACAGTCAGAGGTGTGGTTGCAACTATGATTTCTGCAGTGGACACAACATTTAAGAAGACCAGAAATCAATACCAAATCATCAGAGATTCTTTAGGACTCATTTACACTTTCTTTGACGTTAACACACATTAAAGTGTCTAGCTCTTCAACGTGAATTTTTTATGCTTTTTTGAAGTCTTAATGAAGCTTGGCAAATGCCTTGTATGTGTGTTAATTTTCTATTTGTTTTAAAGGGGCTCAGTAGAACTCAGGCTCATTGGAACCCTCATTTAGCAGATCCCCAGCTTATTAGTACCCTCATTCAGCATATCCTCTACTCAGTAGTACCCCCAGCTCTGCCAATCCTCTGCTCGGTAGTACTTCCCGCTCTGCTGATCCCCTGCTCAGTAGTACCCCCAGCTCTGCCAATCCCCTGCTCCATAATACCTACCGCTCTGTTAATCCCCTGCTCAGTAGTACCCCCAGCTCTGCCGATCCCATGCTCGGTAGTACCTCCCACTCTACTGATCCCCCTCTCAGTAGTACCCCCAGCTCTTCCGATCCCCTGCTCAGTAGTACCCCCAGCTCTTCCGATCCCCTGCTCAGTAGTACCCCCAGCTCTTCCGATCCCCTGCTCAGTAGTACCCCCAGCTCTTCCGATCCCCTGCTCAGTAGTACCCCCAGCTCTGCCGATCCCCTGCTCAGTAGTACCTCCCGCTCTGCTGATCCCCTGCACAGTAGTACCCCCAGCTTTGCTGATCCCCTGCTCGGTAGTACCTCCTGCTTTGCTGATCCCCTGCTCAGAAGTAACCCCCAGCTCTGCTGATCCCCCACTCAGTAGTAACCCCCAGCTCTGCTAATCCTCTGGTTTGTTGGCCCTCCTGTCTCTCTAGTCCCTGTCCACCTCCTGCTATATTGCTTCTGTGCCGCGCACCACATGCAACTTTGCTAGTTTCTCGTGCTCCAGTGCCCCAGCTCTGTTGATCCTCTGCCACTCCGTTTTCTCTCTCCAGTCCCCACACACCTTCTGCTTTAGCGGTCCTATGTTGCACACCACATGTACTTTCTGCTAATGGCACTGCTCCAGTCCAGACCCCCACTCACCTTTCTGCTACCCCTCACTGCACACCTGTGACGCCTGCACCAGAACACTCCCAGAATATATACACATGAGCCGGAAGTGACTTCTGATGACATCTTTCCGGTTCACTTGTTGGTTTCCCAGTGCATCCTGGGATATCTCATATCAGCAAAACCTCCAAAACAAAGTGAAGCGAAAGCAGAATAAAAGCCTCTCAAAAGCTGCAGGTGCTGTTAGCGAGCCTTGTCATAGACTTCTATGGAGGCTTTGGAGGACCAAGAAAGTGACATGGGGTATAGTTTTTGAAACAAAATGAATGCAAGGTGTAAACAGGACTGTAAGCTTACCATTTTATTTAGTGACAGGCTTTTATTGGCATTCAGAGTGCTTTTAAAAAATGTGTGTCAAATGCCACATTTTGAAGCATATGTAAATGAGCCCTTACTGTTGGAGTGGCTGTATGACAGGAACACTGGACAACATATTCGGGTTGGCCGGATTTTTATTCTGATGGCAATCAATGAGAACCTAGCCTAAAGTCTATGATTATCCTAATTAAAAACAGAAAAATCAGCACAAAGGGACATAACTTACAGTCAGTATGTTGTATCCCTTCTTGTTTTAGGAGAAATTTTCATCTCACACAGATCACCCACCACCGCTGTAATCTTCTCGTGTGGCAGAGGGTTAATACAGCTAAGGGGCTGTCAGGAGCGCTTAAGAGATATTACCTAGTACCGGACACCACCCCCCATTGACTTCTCCATCACATCCAACAACGCCACCATCAAACCCGCCCCGCAGGCCAGAGTACTTGGTGTCATTCTGGACTCCAACCTATCCTTCCAGTCCCAAGTCCAATCTTTAACAAACTCGTGCAGACTCCACCTCCGCAACATCGCCAAAATCCACACGTTCCTAACCCCAGAAACCACTAAACAGCTCATCCACTCCGTCTCATCATATCACGACTCGACTACTGCAACTCCCTCCTCACTGGCCTGCCTCACCGCTGGCTATCCCCGCTTCAGTCCATCCTGAATACGGCTGCCAGACTCATTCACCTTTCCAACCGCTCCGTTTCCGCCACCCTCTGCCAATCCCTCCACTGGCTTCCGATTGCGCAATGAATCAAATTCAAAATCTTAACACTGACGTACGTACAAAGCCATCCACCATACTGCCCCGAACTACATCACCGACCTAATATCCAAGTACCACCCAGCACGCACACTCCGCTCCTCACAAGACCTCTTTCTCTCTAGTTCCCTGGTCTCCTCCTCCCATGCCTGCCTCCAGGACTTCTCCAGGGTGTCACCCATCCTCTGGAACTCCCTGCCCCAACCCATCAGATTATCACCTACTCTCCTTTAGGCGCACCCTGAAAACCCATCTCTTCAGGGAAGCCTACCCCACCCCCTGCTAACTTGACCGACCTCCTCCACTCTTCCTACCACTCCATCCCCCACAGCTATCTCCTCCTGTATCACTATCCCGTCCCTTCTAGATTGTAAGCTCGAAAGAGCAGGGCCCTCGATCCCCTCATGTTTTGCATTGTATTGGTATTGTTCTGTCACATGTTCTGTCCCCCTTTATAATGTACAGCGCTGAGCGAACTATTGGCGCTTTATAAATACTGTATAATAATAATAATAATAATAATAACAACTATGCCTGCCCTTTCCTGCCAGATCTGCCATTCATAGAATCCGTACTGAGTGACACAGGTTCTCCTGATGGAGGACGGGCAGATGATTGATAGCTCTTCCTCCTCCATTCATAAATCCTGTCTCATTTTGTAGAAGCTGTAGAACTTGGGGGGGTGGTGGAAGCAGGAAAGATAAAAATTTCTCTTAAAACACAATGAATCAGCACTAAGCACACAATATTACTAACTGTAAGTTATATCCCTTGTGCTGATTTTTCTGTTTTTTTAATTAGGATAATCATAGGCTTTAGGCTAGGTTCTCATTGATTGCCATCAGAATACACTGATCAGCGCTGCAGCCCATTAGCTGTATCTGCTGATCAAACAGGGATTTCCCAACATACCTATTCATGAAAGGTTGATCGATAGATCGATTTCTCATGAACGGGAATTACCATAGATGGATCAAAATTTAACTGAATTGGCCGAATTTCGTTCCATGAATGGCCATCTTAAACCAAACCCAAACTAAAAAAGTAATATATTGCAAATTAATAATCATTAGATGTGGTGGCTGCTTTTTTTTTCTTTTAAGCTTTTCCCCCGCTGTCTTCACCTGGTGATTTGGCCAGTAAAGCTGGCCATACACGTATAGATTTTCGTTCAAGAATATTCGTTTGATTTTCTAATCGTCAGTTTGGTCAAATCGATGTTTGTTTTTGACCGCAGTGACGGGAAAATTCGAAGGGGCAGGAAGGAAAACTTTTCTCTATCAGACGAATTTTCAGCCAGTATATGTGGTTATCATTCAGAAATTATATTCATTTTAAACTCGAATGTTAAAAGCAAAAGGCAATTTTCGAACGACATTCGTCCATTCACGGAATGGTCAAAGAATTTTCGTACGAATATTCCCATCCAAAAATCTACAGGTGTATGGCCAGCTTAACACCCCTCCTGTATAGAGCGCCCCCACTCTGTATGAAGGAGCACCTTTGGACAGCAGCATTGTCAGTCTGGGGGAAGGGAAAATGTTAGATGTAATAACAGATTTAGATACACTAACGAATTGAAGCTGAATTCCAGCTCACACAGTTACAGCTGGTTTGTTTTTTTTCCCATTCAGGATATTAGTATTATTATTATCATTATTATTATTATACAGGATTTAAATTATTATTATTATTGTACAGGATTTTATATTATTATACAGGATTTATATTATTATTATACAGGATTTATATTATTATTATTATTATACAGGATTTAAATTATTATTATTATTATTGTACAGGATTTTATATTATTATTATACAGGATTTATATTATTATTATTATTATACAGGATTTAAATTATTATTATTATTATTGTACAGGATTTATATTATTATTATACAGGATTTATATTATTATTATACAGGATTTTTATATTATTATTATTATACAGGATTTATATGGCGCCAACAGTTTGCTCAGCGCTTTACAATATAAAGGGAGACAATACAGCAACAATACAGTTCAATACAAGAGGGTTAGGAGGGCTCTGCTCCTTGGAGCTTACAACCTAAGAGGATAAAGGTTTTACATAAATAAAAGTTGATAATTTTAAGCACCTTTGTCTGTAGTAAATGGTTTGCCTCAGCAGAACACCTTGTTCTGTTGACAAACAACAGACTTACTGGCCGGGTCACAGGTAAAAATAAAGGAAAGAAAGCCTAAAAGGAAAACTAATGCAGCCATCACATCTAAGAATTAGCAAGCTGTAATATAATGAATAATATAATATAATTAATTTTGGAGAGGTTGTATCGGTACCTTTTTTTGGTGTTCCAGCTGCTTTGATATATAGCGCTCACTTTTTCTTCTTTCCATGTTATTTAATGAATGTTTGGTTTTGGTTTTATTACCTTTTTAACTAAGTCTCCCGGGAGAGTTTTAGGCAGTTGTCTAAGGGCTCATTCACACTAGGGACTGCATTTGAACTGCACAGGAGCGTGTGTGTTCTTGTGCAATTCACATGCAGTTCTCTGCAGTGCGATCTCAGCCTATTAATTTTGAATGGGCTGAAATCGCACCACATCAAAAGCAGTGCATGTACTACAGTTGGAAACACACTGCAATCAGATCACATGGTACTTTTAGTACCTCTGTGTTTGGGGTGCTGTTAAAGGGGAACCTCATTGAAGAGGGGAAGTTCCACATTAAGTCCTCCTCCCCTCCTCCTCTACCATATTTACCATATATGAGGGGGGGGGGGGGGGGTAGGTACCTATTAATAGTTTCTTCCTTTTATTGTGGCAAAGAGTATTTATAGTAATACTTTTTTCTGAGTGTGGTAATTTCCTCGTTTTTAATTTCTTTTGGTTTCCTGATTCTCTCGAGAGGAGAGGGGAAGTTGTTCTGTAGTTCAGCAGGAGAGAACTGGGAAGGGATGACAACACTGCGTGGGATTTCAGTTCAGCGGGAGTACTGCGTCTTCAGAAAGTTAGGCGCACACTGGATTTGTAGCAGATCAGCAGGTTTTATTTTTCTGCATTTGCAACATTTTTTTAAAGAGATAAAATGTGAGGAAATGTGGGTGTGTTGCGGAGATGTACCTCACTTGAGTTTTAATTTTTACCAGAAATACTCTTTTAAAAGATGGATCGCGATGGGGGAGAAGTGGCTGAAGCTGTTAATGTGGAAAGCTCTCTATACCTGGGGGGGGGGGAGGTTGTTTTTGCCATGCTTGCAAGTTTAGTTAGTGTGGTTCCTTGTGCGCTCCTTGTAATGTGTGTGCCCTGTGCTCCTCACACTCATTAGCAAGGGATATTTATGTCAGCCTCTATTACTCTTTTCCAGCTGGAAGGTCATAATGAGCCTGTGGTGCTTCAAGTCTTCGTAGGCAATGATTCTGGTCGAGTGAAGCCGCATGGATTCTACCAGGCCTGCAGAGTTACCGGGAGGAACACGACTCCCTGCAAGGAGGTGGACATAGAGGGCACCACAGTCATAGAGGTCATGCTGGAGCCCAGCAACATGATGACTCTAGCGTAAGTAACTGAACTACCAGCATCCACCTGCCCCGGGGAGAAAAGGAAGCTGTGCCCTCATGTGACAGCTTTATGTGACATGTGCCATGTGTGCTGGCTGCATGGATTGGCTCTTATCACACACTTTTATCTGAAATGCAGAAATACCAGATTCTATCACCAATGAACTGTAGAAGGAATGCAGACCTTCCTGAAACACCTGGAATGAAAAACCTTAAACTCACCCCGAGACTCTTCCCCTGCCTTCTTCTGTGGCCCTATATGTCATGGCATCTGCAAAATCTGCGATTTCATTTATGTCATCTATTCAGTATCTTTGTTGAGCAAATACAGAATTTATCAAGAAGTGGAAGTCTAGTTTAACCACCTTGAAGACCACAATACGTATATTTACATTGTAGGTGTAAAGTGGTATACCAGAATGGTGCCGGCTACAGGCATCCTGGTATTGTGTGTTTTAGGGCTGGCGGCTAATTAGGTGAAAGGTGGGATGACACCGCCTTCCGGTAGAGCTAATCGAAGATTGGAACATCTCCAATCAACACTTCTGACATCATTGCTTACTACGTGTGAAATCTGTGAATGATCACAGAGATCACATGGTACAGGGCTATTCACAACAGCCTTGTACCATGTGAGGGACTGGAGACAAAAAGCTTAACCATTTCCCGTCCGGACCATGTACATAAACGGCCAGACGGGAGCAGTGCAGGAGTGGGTGGCTATTTATAAACGGTCCCCGCATTCACTGCCCGTGTGCGCTCCCTGGGAGTGCGTGGCACCGCGATCTGGTGCCTGCTGTGTCCTCTGGACACAGTGGAACACCGATCGATGTACGGGACCTCTGTGTGAGGTCCTGATCATGTGATCACTGATTGGCCAATCAGTGATCACATGAATAGTAGTAAGCAAGATGTCACTTCTAACATCATTGCTTACTACTAGTGAAATTTGTGAATGATCACTCAGACAGGGGCGGACTGACAACTCATGGGGCCCCCGGGCAATAGGGGATCATGGGGCCCCTGTGTCCTTGCCCAAACTCAAAAAAGCCTATGAAAAAGGTACCAGGGGCATCTCATGGGGCCCCCTACTGACCCCCGGCACTCGGGCAGTGCCCGAGTTTTCCAAATGGTCAGTCCGCCCCTGCACTCAGATCACATGGTACAAGGCTATTCACAACATGTGACAAGCTGTGACCAATGACAGCTCACACAGTATTTCTCAATGACTGCAAGAATGCAGCCAGAGAGGAGAAATGATTGCTTTTACAGCCTTCATGAGTGTAAAAGCAATCAGTGTAAAAAAAAAAAAAAATTAAAAAAAAAATCTTCATCACCCCCATTAACATACTGTCTCTGCTAGGGTGACAGTATGTTAAAAAAAAAACAAAGCATAAATAATAATATAAAAATGTAAAAAAAACTTTTAAAAATTATAATTTTTGGTTATAAACTAACTTGGTTTATTATTTTTTACTAAAAAGATAACTGAATATATGTTGGCCAAGATTTATGTAGAAAGATTATTTGCAAATTTTGAAGAAAAACACTTTTTTTTTAATTGTTTGACTTTTTCATTTATATAAAAAAAAAAAAAAAAAAAAATCCCAGCGGTGAATAAATACCACCAAAATAAAAATGTATCTGTCTAAAAAATTGCTAAAAAATTCATATGGGTACAGTGTTGAATGAGCGCGCAATTGTCATTCAAAGTGTGATAGCGCTGAAAGCTGAAAATTGGTCTGCACAGGAAGGGGGTGAAAGTGTCCGGATGTGAAGTGGCTATGGTATTTGAAACTGAAAGTGATGAGTATTTAGTCACTTCTGGTTTTGGCTGGTTTGTTGTTTACCATCCATTACAGGCCAAAGGAAATCTTCAGATCAAACTGATCTGTGTTTGATCTGAAGCTTTCCCTATTGCTATCACAAGGGATGTTTACATTCATTGTGATAACAATAACAGTGCTTTAAAATATAAATATATAAAATAGATAAAGAGGAAAAAATTTAAAAAGCGCCCCTGCGCACTCCCCCTGCCCCTCATGCACAAAGGTGAACGCTTACGTACAGTGAAGGAAATGCGTATTTGATCCCCTGCTGATTTTGAATGTTTGCCCACTCGCAAAGAAATGATCGGTCCAAATATCGAATGTTCGGTGTATTGTAACACTGAGAGACATGATAGGAACAAAAAATTCAAAAGAAATGCATGTCTAACAAATGATGCACTGATTTGCATGTTCATGAGGGAAATAAGTATTTGATCCCCTATCATTCTGCAGGATTTCTGGCTACCAGGCGTCTTTCATACAGGTAACAACCTGAGATTAGAAGCAGTCTCTTAAAGGGAGTGCTGCTAATCTCATTTTGTTACCTGTATAAAAGACACCTGTCCACAGGAGCAATCAATCAGATTCCAAACTCTCCACCATGGCAAAGACCAAAGAGCTGTCCAAGGATGTCAGGGACAAGATTATAGACCTACACAAGGCTGGACTGGGCTACCAAACTATGGCCAAGCAGCTTGGTGAGAAGGTGACAACAGTTGATGCAATCATTCGCAAATAGAAGAAACACAAAACAACTGTCAGTCTCCCTAGGTCTGGTGCACCATGCAAGATCTCACCTCGTGGAGTGTCAATGATCATGAGAACAGTGAGGAATCATCCCACAACTACACGTGAGGATCTTGTCAATGATCTCCAGGCAGATGGGACCACAGTCACCAAGAAAACAAGTGGTAACACACTACGCCGACAAGGACTGAAATCCTGCAGTGCCCGCAAGGTCCCTCTACTCAACAAAGCACATGTCCAGGCCTGTCTGAAGTCTGCCACTGAACATCTGAATGATGCAGAGGAGGACTGGTTAAGAAGTTTTGTGGTCAGATGAGACCAAAATCCAGCTCTTTGGCATCAATTCAACTCGCCGTGTTTAGAGGAGAAGGAATGCTGCCTATGACCCCAAGAATACCATCCCAACTGTCAAACATGGTGGTGGAAACATTCTGCTTTTAGGAGTTTTTTTTCTGCTAAGGGGACAGGACAACTGAACCGCATCAAAGGGACGATGGACGGGGCAATGTACCATCAAATCTTGGGTGAGGACCTTCTTCCCTCAGCCAGGGCATTGAAAATGGGTGGTGGATGGGTGTTCCAGCATAACAATGACCCAAAACACACGGCCAAGGCAACAAAGGAGTGGCTGAAGAAGAAGCACATGAAGGTCCTGGAGTGGCCTAGCCAGTCTCCAGACCTTAATCCGAGTGAAAATCTGTGGCGTGAGCTGAAAGTTCGAGTTGCCAAATGTCAGCCACCAAACCTTAATGACTTGGAGAGGATCTGCCAAGAGGAGTGGGCCAAAATCCCTCCTGAGATGTGTGCAAACCTGGTGGCCAACTACAGGAAACGTCTGACCTCTTGCCACCAAGTACTAAGTCATGTTTTGTGAACGGGATCAAATACCGTATTTGCCGGCGTATAAGACGACTGGGCGTATAAGACGACCCCCTACTTTTCCTGTTAAAATATAGGGTTTGAGCTATACTCGCCGTATAAGACTACCCCTCTTTCAACGCACACCAAATAAAAAAACATCAGATTTGATTTCAATATGGTATGGTATTTCAGTATGGTATTCCAATGATGGGGTGCTATTCCTCCCACTGACACCAATGATGGGGCACTATTCCTCCCACTGATACCAATGATGGGGCACTATTCCTCCCACTGACACCAATGATGGGCACTATTCCTCCCACTGAGGAATACCAATGATGGGGCACTATTCCTCCCACTGACACCAATGATGGGGCAATTCCTCCCACTGATACCAATGATGGGGCACTATTCCTCCCACTGATACCAATGATGGGCACTATTCCTCCCACTGACACTATGATGGGGCAATTCCTCCCACTGATACCAGTGGGGATGGGGCACTATTCCTCCCATCTGATACCAATGATGAGGCACTAGTCCTCCCACTGACACTAATGGTGCCCCATCAGTAGTGTCAGTGTGTGAGGAATAGTGTCCCATCATTAGTGCCAGTGGGGGAGGAATAGTGCCCCATCATTGGTATTCAGTGGATGAAATAGTGCCCCATCATTAGTGTCAGGGGGAGGAATAGTGCCCATCATTTGTATCAGTGGGAGGAATCATGCCCCATCATTGGTGTCAGTGGGAGGAATCATGCCCCATCATTGGTGTCAGTGGGAGGAATAGCGCCCCATCATTGGTATCAGTGGGAGGAATAGTGCCCCATCATTAGTCAGTGGGGAGGAATAGTGCCCCATCATTAGTCAGTGGGAGGAATAGTGCCCCATCATTAGTCAGTGGGGAGGAATAGTGCCCCATCATTAGTCAGTGGGAGGAATAGTGCCCCATGGTTGGTGTCAGCGGGGAGGAGGAATAGTGCCCCATGGTTGGTGTCAGTGGGGGAGGAATAGTGCCCCATCATTGGTGTCAGTGGGGAGGAATAGTGCCCCATCATTGGTATCAGTGGGGGAAAAGTGCCCCATCATTGGTGTCAGTGGGGGAGGAATAGTGCCCCATCATTGGTGTCAGTGGGGGAGGAATAGTGCCCCATCATTGGTGTCAGTGGGGGGAGGAATAGTGCCCCATCATTGGTGTCAGTGGGGGAGGAATAGTGCCCCATCATTGTGGTGTCAGTGGGGGAGGAATAGTGCCCCATCATTGGTGTCAGTGGGGGAGGAATAGTGCCCCATCATTGGTGTCAGTGGGGGAGGAATAGTGCCCCATCATTGGTGTCAGTGGGGGAGGAATAGTGCCCCATCATTGGTGTCAGTGGGAGAATAGTGCCCTATCATTGGTGTCAGTGGAGAGGAGGAATAGTGCCCCATCATTGGTGTCAGTGTGGAGAAGGAATAGTGCCCCATCGTTAGTGTCAGTGGGGGAGAGGAGCGGCTGCTCCTTCTTTCAGTTCGGCAGCTTGATTTTCGCGGGGCCTTTCGGCTCCGCCTCCTCGCCGGTGATTGGTCGCCTGTGTGCGCTGGCGCCCAATCACCGGTGAGGAGGCGGAGCCGAGCGGCAGCGGACCATCGAGCAGCCGAACTGAAAGAAGGAGCAGCCACGCTTCCTGGACCGGATCATCGTGGGACCGGGACCCGAGCCAGGTAAGGTACAGCAGCCCCTCTGCCCACCCCTGTACTTAGTGTCCGTTGGAGGACACCGCCCCTGGAAAAAGTGCCGCCCTGACACACCGGCGCTCGCCGTATACCAGCGTATAAGACGACCCCCGACTTTTCAGAAGATTTTCAGGGGCTGAAAAGTCGTCTTATATACGCCGGCAAATACGGTACTTATCTGTTAATACATCATTTGTTAGACAAGCACTTCTTTTGAATTTTGTTTTTGCTATTCTGTCGCTCAGTGTTACAATATACCTACCATTCGATTTGAGACTGATCATTTCTTTGTGAGTAGGAAAACATTCAAAATCAGCAGGGGATCAAATACTTATTTCCTTCACTGCAAGTTGCACTTGGTTATCTAAATTGTCAATAGACTCAGAAATTGCATGTGTGCCACCATAAGAAGTATCTTCCTATGGTGGCACACTGAGAAGAGGAAAATCTTAGAGTGCCGGCAGGGGACCCCATAAAACTTAAGATACAATTTCAATAAGGAAAGGGGGGAAAACCTGCTGAGCAATGGCAGAGATTCCGTCTCACTTGCTTCACAAATGTTTCAGTGCATCTGTTGATTTTCATCAAAGTCTCCCTCTCTTTTCTTACTGCCTTCAGGTCCTCCTCATAGTTTTGCAGCAAGTGCAGGGTAATTTCCTACCACAATGTGAATGTGGTGTTCGCAAACTGACTGAAGTTTCTACCAGTATATGTTTGTAAAACTGCTTGCATACTGTATGTGTCCCAAAATGTCTTTACGTAACAGCAGAGTGTCAGTCGTACCATAGGCAAATTTCCAAAGGTTCCGTTAACCTCATGATTTCATGTGACTCTCTACTTTGGCCTTGTTTCATAGCGTGGACTGCGTTGGGATTCTGAAGCTGCGTAACGCAGATGTTGAAGCTCGGATAGGGGTCGCTGGTTCCAAGAAGAAAAGCACACGGGCCAGACTTGTCTTCAGAGTCAACATCCCTCGGAAAGATGGCTCAATTCTGACACTGCAAACCCCTTCATCACCAATTCTCTGTAGTGAGTAAAGTGCTGCTTTCTCTTTCTTTCACATGTACTAATGCTTGATGACATATTTCATATACATTTTGGCACATTCAGTGGGAGACTGTGTTGAAATACTCAAATTTCTACAGTTTTTTTTGTTATCGAAGCATTGCTGCAATGCACCTGTCTACTGTAATAATTTATATAGCGCCAACAGTTTGCACAGCGCTTTACATTATAAAGGGAGACAGTAGCGTTACAGTGCAATTCAATACAAGAGGGTTAAGAGGGCCCTGATCCTGAGAGCTTTACAGTCTGATACCACTTACAGTGTTCAGGTATCTGGTGGTCAGAGAACCCTTGAATGCAAAAGAAAAACAAAAAGAGGGTGCACCGGCCTAGTGCATTATCGTTTAAAATATTTATTGAAAGAATAAAAAAGTAGGTATCATACTCACAATGGACATATAAAACACAGGCACATCACAATGAACAAAGGTGTTCAATCAGGGGCGGACTGACCATTTGGAAACTCGGGCACTGCCCGAGGGCCCGGGGTCAGTAGGGGGCCCCATGAGATGCCCCTGGTACCTTTTTCATAGGTTTTTTTTGGGTTTGGGCACGGACACAGGGGCCCCATGATCCCCTATTTCCCGGGGGCCCCATGAGTTGTCAGTCCGCCCCTGTGTTCAATCCATATAGCATCTGAGTCTACAACGATGGAACCCTGGAAGACCAACTGTCTGACGCGTTTCGAGGACTCAGCCTCTTCCTCAGAGGCCCTGAGGATGAGACTGAGTCCTCGAAACGTGTCAGCCAGTTGGTCATCCAAGGTTCCATCGTTGTAGACTCAGATGCTAAATGGATTGAACACAGGGGCGGACTGACAACTCATGGGGCCCCCGGGAAATAGGGGATCATGGGGCCCCTGTGTCCTTGCCCAAACTCAAGCCAATGAAAAAGGTACCAGGGGCATCTCATGGGGCCCCCTACTGACCCCGGGCCCTCGGCAGTGCCCGAGTTTCCAAATGGTCAGTCCGCCCCTGATTGAACACCTTTGTTCATTGTGATGTGCCTGTGTTTTATATGTCCATTGTGAGTATGATACCTACTTTTTTATTCTTTCAATAAATATTTTAAACGATAATGCACTAGGCCGGTGCACCCTCTTTTTGTTTTTCTTTTGCATTCAGTGACTTTGGACAACCCCTGTCCGTTGAGGGCAGCAAGCAGTGCATATTCCAGAACATTTACATTGTCATCCTAGCCTCTGAGGAGTCCATCCCCAGCGCAGGAGTAAAGTATTTGCTGTGTTTGATCAGTCGGAGAACCCTTGTTTGGTATGCAGAGGAGAAATTCGCATACATGCCAACCACTGGGCCCTTGCTGTCCCTACCCTAAATAAACCTCATGTTAAAATAGTCAGTCCTTGGATGTTCTCCCCTGCTGCATTCAGTACAAGCAATCACAATGCACTTCTTAAAGCTGAACTCCAGCCTGATTCTAAAAGACACAAATTTATGCTTCCACGTTCATCTGGTCTTCCTTCTCCGGTTCGTGAGCGCTTGACACTTTAAATGGCCGAGTGGCAATGACATCACTCCCACATATGCGCACTGGAGTCACTATCGTAGCACAGAGCTTTGGACTGAAAGCACTTTCAGTGTGCTCACAATTCAGAGCACTGTGTGTATGCGCTGGTTATGTCACTGGCTGCAAAACATGCGCATATCTCCTAAACAAGGGTTCTCCAAACTTTCTAAACAAAGGGCCAGTTTAATGTGCTTCAGACTTTTAGGGGGCTGGACCATTGCCAATGGGAGTTAACAATGTCCCATGTTTTGGTATTAGGGGAAATATTAGTGCCCCATCATTGGTGTCAGTGGAAGGAATAATGTCCCACATCGTTGGTGTCAGTAGGAGGAATAGTGCTCCATCATTGGTGTCAGTGGGAGGAATAGTGCTCCATCATTGGTGTCAGTGGGAGGAATAGTGCCTCATCATTGGTGTCAGTGGGAGGAATAGTGCTCCATCATTGGTATCAGTGGGAGGAATAGTGCCCATCATTGGTATCAGTGGAAGGGAATAGTGCCCCATCATTGGTATCAGTGGAAGGAATAGTGCCCCATCATTGGTATCAGTGGAAGGAAATAGTGCCCCATATCGTTTTGGTCAGTGGTAGGAGGAATAGTGCCCCATCATTGTTATCAGTGGAAGGAATAGTGCCCCATCATTGGTATCAGTGGGAGGAATAGTGCCCCCATCATTGGTATCGATGGGAGGAATAGTGCCCCCGTCATTGGTATCAGTGGGAGGAATAGTGCCCCATCATTGGTATCAGTAGGAGGAATAGTGCCCCATCATTGGTATCAGTGGTAGGAATAATGCCCTATCATTGGTGTCAGTGGAGGAATAGTGCCCCACCATTGGTATCAGTGGTAGGAATAGTGCCCCATCATTGGTGTCAGTGGAAGGAATAGTGTCCCATCATTGGTGTCAGTAGGAGGAATAGTGCCCCATCATTGGGTATCAGTGGAAGGAATAGTGCCCCATCATTGGTATCAGTAGAATAGTGCCCCATCATTGGTGTCAGTGGAAGGAATAGTGCCCCTTTGTTGATGTCAGTGGGAAGAATACTGCCCCAAGGGCCAGATAAAGGTATGTAAATAGACGCAGTTTAGAAGATATTTATGGTACCTACAGGTAAGTGATATTTTAAGCTTACCTGTAGGTAAAAGTGATGAAGCAGAGTTAACTACCGCTTTAAGTGGACCTCCATTGTGTGCCCTGCTAACATTCATTCTCTGTGGTGTAGCTCAGCCTGCCGGAGTGCCGGAGATCCTGAAGAAGAGCCTTCACAGCTGCTCGGTCAAAGGGGAGGAAGAGGTGTTTCTGATTGGAAAGAACTTCCTGAAAGGAGCCAAGGTTGTTTTCCAGGAAAACATTGCCGGTTCGTATCATTTGCCATTACTTGATCAACATTGGAACATAATTTGTCAGGCCACAATTTGTTATTTTGATCTGTGATTTAATTTTACACTTGAAGTGAACATGAGATATGAACAAAGCAAATCACTCTATAAGGTGTGCGTGTCAATCCAGAGCACTAAGTGACATTTCTGTCAGCTGCCTCCTTCCTCTCCTGACACCAAGAGAAAAAGTGACAGGGGATGGCACAGCCTTTGATTGACAGCCTATTTTCTGTTCCTATGTGCTGTGTGAAAGGGGGGGGGGGGAGTGTCTTCCCTCCAATCAGCTCTCAGAGCCTGAGCTGTGCATGTTTCCCTATGAGACTGTGTAGAAGGGGGAGCCATCCTTCTCCTCCACTCCCAGATTACACTCAGCTCCCTAGTCTATGCTATTCAGTGTGTGATATCAAATCCCCACTCCTTGCCTTCTGGAGCTCAGAAATGCTTTGTAAAATGTGTGCTTTTGGAGAAAGTAGATAACAGATTGCTGCAGATAAACAGGTACAACTTACGTAGGAGGATTTGTTTAATCTCTGTGTATCACCTGAGGGCAGTCACTTCACTGCGTATATGTAAGTGTTTATAGCCACTTTAACCCCTTAACGCTTGCGCCACCGGCCTTTTAGGGGGTTTGTGATGGCATTTCTGTGACTTCCGTGATTGGCGATCCCCCTTTTCTCGGGTCCCCTGCCAGCACTCATGGCTCCTCCTCTTCTCGGTGTGCTACCATAGGGAGCCTCTTCCTATCGGGGCACACCTGTGTGCTCGATCCCGAGCCCTGCTGCCTGTGTCCATTGACAAAGACGGTGAGGCTTGGCCCCACCCACCTTTACCTCATCACAGAATTTGACTGACGGCAGCAATGGAAACCAATGGCTCCTGCTGCTCAGAGCAAAGCCTGTGAGAGTGGGGAGAAGAGGATAGAGCCGCTGCTCTCATGCACAGCTGTGGGTGTAGATCGGGCTCAGGTAAGTATAGGGAGGGTGAGGGGGCAATACTTTAACTTAAACATTTTTGTACCTTAAAGTGTTACTAAACCCCCAACAGTACAATCAGTCTGTAGATGCAGTAAAGCATGCTTGTTATACTCACTGTGGAACCTAAGGGGTTAATCCTCTGCATTGTGTTAAAAGGATGTTTGTCCTGTCTTCTCTGATCCTCCCCTTCTTCTAATGTACCCAATCCATCTATTGATAGAACAGAGCCTTGGGGGGCATGCTGCACATGCTTAGTTTGGTGTGTATTGCTAGAGTTTTTTTTTTCCTTGTGAGAGTGCATGTGATCAGTACAGGGCCAATCAGCACTGTCTAGACAGAGGGTCAGGGGTTATGCATCCTCATAGGATAATCAGGGGAGAATGAAAACTCCTCCTACAAGCTTTAACCAGTGCTCTGCTGGACACTGATAGAAGTCAGAAAACTGCTATATACTGCTGATGAGAAGAGGTATTTAGCAGTTTATATTTACTAAAATAGTTGCATTTCCATGTTTTATGTACTATGAGAGACCAGACAGGGAATGCAGGGTACTGGGTTTAGTAACACTTTAATGCAAGGAATGCATTAGGGTAAAAAAAAATGTTTAGGCTTTACAACCACTTTAAAACAGGCTCGTAGTGTAACTGGTTTCCATTCAAACTAACCCTGCTATGTGTGCTTGTAGAAGTGTGGTAGGGATGTGTGACACCGCTAAGGCAGTCCATTCATCAGTTTTTTTGTTTTTTTTTTGGTTTTTCATTCAACCAGCAGGTTGAATTAAAAAAAAAAACCCAATTCCCCAATCCACACATTTGATGAGATGGGGGAATCCTCTCCTCTGTGTCTTTGCATTCTGACAGCGGGAAGACTTCCCCACCATCACAATACACTGATCAGCGCTGTAGGCTATATCAAGCATATTGAGTGGGGAGAATCCAACAAGGTGTTGGTACAGAAGATGATTGGTAGATTGACTTCTGTTCAACCACAGTGCCTGTACATGGATCAAAATTTGTTTGGTCCTTGTTGAGCTGATTGAATTGCGATCAATGTGTGGCCAGCTTAAGTAAGCTCATACATATTGCCAAAAGTATTGGGACACCCCTCCAAATCAATGGATTCAGGTGTTCCAATCCCCTCCAAATCAATGGATTCAGGTGTTCCAATCCCCTCCAAATCAATGGATTCAGGTGTTCCAATCCCCTCCATGGCCACAGGTGTATACAATCAAGCCTCTAGGCATGCAGACTGCTTCTACAAACATTGGTGAAAGAATGGGTCGCTCTCAGGAGCTCAGTGACTCCAAGCGCGGTCCCGTGATAGGTGGTCACCTGTGTAATAAGTCCATCCGTGACATTTCCTGGCTACTAAATATTCCACGCTCAACTGTTAGTGGGATTATAACAAAGTGGAAGCAACTGGGAACAACCAAGTGGTAGGCCACGTCACATGACAAAGCAGGGTCAGCGCATGCTGAAGCGCACAGTGCGCAGAAGTCGCCAACTGTCTGCAGAGTCAATAGCTAAAGACCTCCAAACTTGGTGTGACCTTCAGATGAGCCCAACAACAGTGCGTAGAGAGCTTCATGGAATCGGTTTCCATGGCCGAGCAGCTGCATCCAAGCCTTACATCACCAAGTGCAATGCAAAGCGTCGGATGCCGTGGTGTAAAGCAGTGGAGACATGTTCTCTGGAGTGACCAATCATGCTTCTCTGGCAATTTGATGAATGTGTCTGGGTTTGACGGTTGCCAGGAGAACGGTACTTGCCTGACTGCATTGTGCCAAGTGTAAGGTTTGGTGGAGGGGGGATTATGGTGTTGAGGTTGTTTTTCAAGGGTTGGGCTTTGCCCCCTAGTTCCAGTGAAGGGACCTCTTCAGGCGTCAGCATACCAAGACAATTTCATGCTCCCAACTTTGTGGGAAGAGTTTGGGGATGGCCCCTTCCTGTTCCAACATGACTGCGCACCAGTGCACAAAGCAAGGTCCATAGAGACATGGAGGAGCCAGTTTGGGGTGGAGGAACTTGACTGGCCTGCACAGAGTCCTGACCTCAACCCCATAGAACACCTTTGGGATGAATTAGAGCGGAGACTGCGAGCCAGGCCTCCTCCCCCGACATCAGTGCCTGACCTGACAAATGTGCTTCTGGAAGAATGGTCCAACCTTCCCATAGACACCCTCCTAAACCTTGTGGACGGCCTTCCCAGAAGAGTTGAAGCTGTTATAGCTGCAAAGGGCGGGGCCAACTCAATATTGAACCCTACGGACTAAGACTGGGGGGCCATTAAAGGTCATGTGTGTGGAAAGGGCGGGGCCAACTCAATATTGAACCCTACGGACTAAGACTGGGGGGCCATTAAAGGTCATGTACGTGGAAAGGGCGGGGCCAACCCAATATTGAACCCTACGGACTAAGACTGGGGGCCATTAAAGGTCATGTACGTGGAAAGGGCGGGGCCAACTCAATATTGAACCCTACGGACTAAGACTGGGATGCCATTAAAGTCCATGTGCGTGGAAAGGCTGGCGGCCCAATACTCTTGGCAGTATAATGTGTATGTTGGGTAGGGAAATGTGAGTAGGGTTGAGGGTTCAACAATGTATTATCTTGGCAGGAGAAGGAGCTAAGCCAAATACAGCCTACAATCTAACATGTATTTTGTCTGTTCCTCTCTGTTTAGATGACGGTTCATGGAAAGCTGAGGCTGAAATTGACATGGAGCTATTCCACCAGGTAAATAAATGTAGACTGTTCTGTGTTACAATGGAGAAAATAATGATCTTCTGTAACGTTCAGTATGGGTGATGTTCACACAGCTGTGAATTCCTTCGAAGTTCGTACTTGTGTTTTTTTTAATGGCTGGTATAATTTTCAGAAATATAGTAACTTCCCTAAAGCACATCTTTTAGTAATATGAAGGTCATGGACAGACCCTACTGTAGAGCACCTACTGTAGAGCACGCACCTAGCTGTAATACTTACATGATCCCTTTGTTAATGGTGATACCCCAAATCTAGGGTGCTGTCACATGGCAGTTTTGACACTTCCCAAAAATGTTGAGAGCCTTCCTGCATGCTCTGGCACATTTCTATTGTCTTCTAAGCTTGCCCGTCATTGTGATAGACAAATAGGGAGTGGCATCATACAATATGGCGCCCCGTAATTCAGGGCACTGCCACCGCTGGCATTTACAGTCACTGCTAGAGGCTACTTCTACCCCTGTTCGGTATGGTAAGGTGCAGGTTTTGTTTACAATTTTCTCTGTTGCTCCCACTGATAAAATCTAAACAATTGCTCCATGCATTAGAATATTGAATGCTTACCTCTATTGGTGGTCCATGTGTCTAAACCCCTCTGTCTTCCAGCTTCTGGATAAATCTCACACATTCGACACTTCCTGGAGTGTCAAATGCCCGTGTCCTCTGCCAGATGTTGTGGTTCCTCCTGCAGGACTCTACATTTCTGCTGAATTCTGTAGAGTAAACATAAGAGTAAGAGCAAGCCATATATGATGCGACCACAGGTTGCAGGAAAGAAAATCACTCGATTTCCCCCATCAGCACAGCCAGTCTTTGTGGGGGAATCCCTACCGTGGAGCTATTGTGTTCTACCAGCGGGAGAGGAAAGCGCAGGGAGCCATTCCTGCCAGGAGAGCACAATGATTATTGCTAGCGGCTATAGCTGCTAGCTGTAATCACATGCTAGAAATCCAACATGCTGACTGTACCCAAGTCGATCGATCGACTTTGGTACAGTCAGCCGCCTGCTTATAGACGGATCGAATCTCAGCTGGTCCTTGCTGAACTGGTTGAGACTGAAACCATCCATGGCTGGGGGAAGGGAAAGAGATAGCGGATGTAGACATTCGCAACACCCCAAAGAGTCAAATGACTTGGGATATGCTGGGAGACAGAGTTCAGGCTGCCTGCCGAAGAGAAAGGGATACACAGCTTTTCATTGCAGGGAGCAACTTTTTAGGTTGTTTCTAGCTTTAATTTCTCTCAGAAATCAGGCTGAAAACGAGATTTCAAGTCATTGTGGTATGGTGCTATGCTGTCATTCTCATGTTTACAGCACTGGCAGATGCTTTAGGCAAGTTGCAGAGGTAAGTGAGAGCACAGAGAAGGGTAGGTAGGTGACACGTGAAATTGCCATTTTTAATATTCAGACTAGCGGTGTCATTTAAATTGCACTACTCAATATCTTGGGGATAGAACAGTTCATATTTATGTAATGTTTTGGCTGGAGCCTTCACTTTGCATTTTGTATTGTTTCTGTATAGTTTGTGTGGTGATTCCTGTTCATTTGTTTTAACCCGGATGTTTTTGCTTGTCTAGAATCACCTTATTGTGAAGGTTCCTCCTTACCATGACCAGAACATCACTTCCCCGGTCTCCGTTGTGATGTTTGTTGTGACCAATGCAGGCCGCTCTCATGAAGTTCAGCCTTTTACATACACTCCAGATCCATGTGAGTAATCTGCCAACACCTTCGTCTGCAACACCTTCATCTGCTTAGTGCGCTGCAAATCTCTGCTGTGCAACGTATGGTAAAACTGCTCCCTGTTTATTTATATCCAGTATTTGTATAAGAAGCAGTACGTACATCCACTCTCATCAGTCAGCTCCACAATTCACTGTTTTTCAGCTTTTATAAATGTATTACCCTCAGGGGCGGACTGACCATTTGGAAACGAGGGCCCGGGGGCAGGAGGGGGCCCCATGAGATGCCCCTGGTACCTTTTTCATAGGCTTTTTTGAGTTTGGGCAAGGACACAGGGGCCCCATGATCCCCTATTGCCCGGGGGCCCCATGAGTTGTCAGTCCGCCCCTGATTACCCTGGTATGATAGCGGCTGTTGCAAGGTAAAACCTTGGAATGTTACATTGCTTTATGGACCCCCCCCCCCCCCCAAAAGCTGCTTACGTATAATAACACCTTCAAATAGATTTTTGCTATGATTAGATAATTTTTGATATCACACACAGCATTAAGTAGCCATGTAAGGTTTCCAAAAAAAATCCTGCTAGCCGCTGCAGCAATAGAAGAAACTGATTATTTATCTCTCCAGTGGGTGGAAAAGCGAACGTATCTTTAAAAGATACTTTCTGTTCATCCCCCCTCCCTTTTATGCAATTTCATAAATTTATTAGGTTTATTACCTTTCCTTGTGCTGCCCCACAGCACTTCCTCCTTTCTTGTCAGGGCAAGAATGACGTCGGAAAAGCAAGTCCAACCCACACTGCTCAACCATCATCAGTAAAGGAGAGGGGAAGATCGGTGTCCAGGCTGCAGTGTCTCCTCACCTTCACTCAGTGGTGTATTTTTGGTTTTGTGCTGCCCTGGGCAACACAAAAATTGCATAAAAAGCATAACTATTGGTTTTTCAAACAACTGATCTTGGCGGCAAATGGAAAGCCTTTATTAGCATGAGGTAGGAAGAGGAGGGCCATTACCCCTGACTAAAAAGGTGGACTTGGGTTTTAGTGTGTATTGCATACTGGTCCAGCTGGATAATGTACTCCAGGGGTCTCCAGCCTGCTACTACATTTTATCTGGCCCCCAGTAGGGTCAGTGGCAAATTCTCAATGTGCGCTGATTGAGGATTAAAGTCCATAAAGACTGTATATGGTCTCTGCTTCTGATGTAAGGGGAGACTCTGATGGAGGTCCTGATATAAGGGTAGACTCTGATGATGGGGGTCCTGATGTAAGGGGAGAGTCTTATGGGGGTCCTGATGTAAGAGGAGACTCCGATGGTGACCCTAATGTAAGGGGAGACTCCAATGGGGACCCTAATGTAAGGGGTGACTCTAATGGGGACCCTGATGTAAGGGGAGACTCTGATGGGGACCCTGATGTAAGGGGAGACTCTGATGAGGGTCCTGATGTAAGGGGAGACTGTGATGGGGGTACTGCTATAAGGGGAAACTCTAATGGGGACCCTGATGTAAGGGGAGACTGTGATGGGGGTCCTGATGTAAGGGGAGACTGTGATGGGGGTCCTGATGTAAGGGGAGACTGTGATGGGGGTCCTGATGTAAGGGGAGACTGTGATGGGGGTCCTTGATGTAAGGGGAGACTCTTTTGGATCCTTGATGTAAGGGTATACTGTAATGGGGACCTTGATGTAAGGGGAGACTCTGATGAGGGTCCTGATGTAAGGGGAGACTCTGATGAGGGTCCTGATGTAAGGGGAGACTCTGATGAGGGTCCTGATGTAAGGGGAGACTCTGATTGGGTTCCTGATGTAAGGAGAGACTGTGATGGGGTCCTGATGTAAGATGGGAATCTGATGGGGGTACTGATGTAAGGGGAGACTCTAATGGGGACCCTGATGTAAGGGGAGAATCTGATGGGGACCCTGATGTAAAGGGAGACTCTGATGGGGGTCCTGATGTAAGGGGAGACTGATGGGGGACCTGATGTAAGGAGTACTCTGATGGGGGACCTGATGTAAAGAGTACTCTGATGGGAACACTAAGGTAAGAGAGATCTTGATAGGGATTTTATTAGCCTGCAGATATTTGTAATAAATCCATTGCGGCCTTTGTACTGGAATGTTTGGAGACCCCAAATATAAACAAAGGAATATGTCTGCTCTGTGATTCCCTCTCATGGTCTTCTGTACATGTAGACTACAGCTCTAGTAAGCCCATTCTCCTGTTAGGACAGCATGAACTAGCAACAAGTATAATTCAATGGCAGGCGAGGAGCATTCCATAAACTTCATTGCAGTCCAGTGTCATCAGCGGCTAGGCTTCGGCCTCTGTACTTGTTTGGTCTTAGCTGTGTAATTAATTTTTTCGCTTCCATTGACAGCCATTCCAAACCTTCTCATAAAGAAAGAGATTGCCAGCTCCGCACAGTCCTGTACTTTTGAAGACTCTATGAAAGGTATTCATTTGCTTCCTCATGTAGCTTTCATATTGATTCAAAAGTTCACTCCATTTTATATGGTTGTATCAGTTGAAACAAACACTTGGTCAGAGTTTAAAGCGGAACTAAACCCATTGATTTAATGGTTTAAAAAAAACCAGTTACATCCCTGGCCTGGTGAGAATGCTAACTCACATTTTCTTGTGATCTCAAAAAAACTGTAAAACCATCAAATGGCCGTTGTCATAACTGATCACATGCATAGCATCATAGCAGTTGCAGAGGCTAGGACGGCAACTTCCTTGGATAGGAGGGTTTAGTTCCGCCTTAACTTGGTTAACTGCCATTTCTGTGCCATAGCAGCCCCCCCCCCCCCCCCCCATCAATTAGATTTTATTTAATTTCATTTTTATTTCTTTTTGCTTGAATGGCCTAGAAGCCTAGAAATCTACTGTTGCAGTAATCTAGTCTAGCTCCTATGGCTTGGCCTTCCCCCTCCTCTATTCCTTGCTCAATTAGAGTGGCTATCACAGCGAATTGCAGGAGTGGGCAGGGTAAAGCAGTTGACCTTGGGAGCTGGTTTAGCTAGCCAGTAAGATGAATTGACTTGCAGGTGCTTGACAGTGCTTGCTATGACATGGTAGTGGCAGTTTAGTTCGTAAACCATGACCACAGGTATATTGTAATTGAGACAATAAATACTTTTTTTTTCTGAAACTGTGTATGTATGCAATCATCCCTACACCCAGCAATTGAGATATTTAGGATCTATATTTACATTTTATACATTCATATGCATTCATTGTTCACATTGTCAGTTGCTATGTATTTCAAAATGTGCCACAAAAATGTCAGATTTATGAGACTGCTGAGCAAGAAAGTAAGCTGTGACTTGGTGATGTGGAGAGCTGTAGGTATGATGGTGGTGTTATAGCAGGACTCCTCCTAAATCTGTGTTAACTTCCTAACCAGTGAAGGACTGGAGACTAAAAGCTTAACCACTTCCCATCCGGTCCATGTACATAAATGGCCGGGCGGGAGCAGTGCAGGAGCGGGTGGCTGTTTATAAACAGCCCTGTATTCACTGCCTGTGTGCGCGCTCCCTGGGAGCGTATGTCACCGCGATCTGGTGCCCGCTGTGTCCTCAGGACACAGTGGAACACCGATCGCTGTATGGGACCTCTGTGTGAGGTCCCGATTATGTGACCACTGATTGGCCAATCAGTGATCACATGAATAGTAGTAAACAAGATGTCACTTCTGACATCATTGCTTACTACTAGTGAAATTTGTGAATGATCACAGAGATCACATGTTACAGGGCTAGTCTCAACAGCCTTGTACCATGTGACAAGCTGTGACCAATCACAGCTCTCACAGTATTTCTCAGTGGCTGCAAGAATGCAGCCAGAGAGAAGGAGAAATTATTGCTTTTACAGACTTTATGGGTGTATAAGCAATCAGTGTAAAAAAGAAAAACAAATCTTCATCACCCCCCACAAGTAGTACAGTGTCACTATGGCGACGGTATGTTAACAAAAAAACATAAATAATAATATAAAAAAAAAAAAAAATGTCAAAATTTGTTTTGAAAAATTATAATTTTTGGTTATAAACGAATTTGGGTTATTTTTTTATTTTTTTTTTTATTCAGCTCTAATATAGATGCATATTTTTTGCTGAAACACAGTTGGGCTTTATAAATTACATTCATAATGCTGCTCGTGTCTGTGTACTGCTTTGGTTTATGGAAATGTAGTATGATTTGCTTATCATCGGCATAAAGTACACAAATTTCAGCCTGCCTGTAGGGAAATAACACAAACGTGTGACGGAGGATCAGCAGGATTCACAAGGTCATCTGAGAACATGGCGGGGGCCCTTCCAGTACAGCCGTGCATTAAACTGGTAGCAAAGCTGTTTACAACCACTACCCTCTGGGCTTCTTCCAACGTGACTGGTGTTTTGGTAGGTTGATTTGCATTGCCCTTCTCCCAGGATGAAGCTATGGAATGCGGGTTTGTGAATGGCGGGATGTAATGGAGTTGACTTGTGACTTCGAATAAAGGGGAGGCATCGAGCGGATGGGGCAAACAGCTTCCCACTAATTCCTTAAACACACAACGGCCGGTGGGAATTTTCTCGCCCATAGAAAGAGTACAGCCCAGGTGACGGGCAGCACGGACCAGCTGCTGAGGTATTTTGCCGCGCCAGACGGCCGTAAAAAACAAGCCAGCGTCTGCAGCCCGCTCAAAATAACGAGACAGACACAGGTTCCTTGCCAGGGAACTCCTGTATGGGATTCTTTTTAAAATTGCTTTGAAAACCTCAGAGAGGCTTAGGGAACAGTTCCTGTTTTTCCTGTCCAAGACCAGCCAAGAAAATAAGATGCCTCATAATTTCCTCAAATTGAAAAATCAGACTGAGAACTTAAGTATTAATGCTAGACGAGGATCAGACATCTAGAATCTCCTAAACGCTTCCCGAACAGGCAGAAAAATGTTAAACACAAATCTGCCTACCCTCAGGGTTAAAGAGAAGGTAAAATGCATTTTCAGTGAGCACATACTTAGTTTTTTTTTTTTTTTTATATGTTTACCTTTAACCTCTTCACGCCGGCCGAATGCAAATGTGCGGCCTCCTGGCGTCTGGGCCTAGACGCCGAGCAGCCGCACATTTGCGTTCTATTAAAAAAGGACATATGTGCCGAGAGCGCGCGCCCTGCGCTCTCCCGGCGGTCACATGACTCTAAACCCCACCCCGCCTCCCGGCTTCTGAAACCCTTAAAGGGCCGGGAGGCGCCGGCGTGAAGGGGTTAAAGTGGTTGTAAAGCCCAAAGGGTTTTTTTTTATCTTAATGCATTCTCTACATTAAGGTACAAAACCTTTTAGATGCAGCTCCCCCCTATCTTCCTGAAATACCTACCTTAACCCGATATCATTCCAGTGCTGTGCCCGAGAGCAGTGGTGCTACTCACTCCCTCCTCAGTGAGAGCAGCGGAAGGTATTGGCTTCTGCTGGTGTCTGTCAAATTCAGGGGTGGGAGTGGGGCGGGGCCAAGCAATACCGTGTGTCAACAGACACACAAAATGGGGTTCGTGATCGAGCCTGCATGAGTGCTAGTGGGTACGCAACAAAGTTTTTTTATGGTTTTACACTATGGGATGTTTTCTTTTGTTTCTGTTCACATGCTGAAACTTGGTTTACTGGTTTAAAAAGGCTCTTTTGAAACTGCACTGTCATTTATATCCACGCTGGTCATCATCCTATTGGTTACTATCAGCCAGATCGCATGATTCCCATGAATGAATATTGGTGCCATTCTTACAACAGTTTGCTCAGCGCTTTACAATAGAAAGGGAGACAATACAGCAACAATACAGTTCAATACAAGAGGGAAAGGAGGGCCCTGCTCCTTGGAGCTTACAATCTAGGAGGGAGGGGCTAGTGGTACAAAAGGTAGTAACTGTGGTGGATGGACTGGTAGGAGGAGTAGAAGATTCCATTATTAGCTGAAGGCAGGATAGGCTTCCCTGAAGAGAGAGGCTTTCAGAGATCACCTAAAAGTGGGCAGAGTAGGCGATAGTCTGATAAATTGGGGTAGAGAGTTCCAGGGGATGGGGGAAGCACTGGAGACGAGCATGGGAGGAGGAGACAAGGAAGCTAGAGAGCAGGAGGCTGTGGGAGGAGTGGAGAGGACGGTTTGGGTGATATTTGGAGACCAGAACAGCTTGGAGTAGATGGGGAGGTCGGGGATAGGGGGGGGGTCTTTATCAGCCTCTCTGACATGGCCATCTACTGACCCTTTGAATTCTGGAAAGTCCCTCCAGGGGCCGGGGTGTATCAGACGCCTGCTATGCTGTAAAATGACAGAAACTTCAGATGAATGACCAGGTTCCTTTTAAATCGGCCGCACACGGGGAAAAGTCCAGGAGACGAGCATGGGAGGAGGAGACAAGGGAGCTAGAGAGCAGGAGGTCTTGCGAGGAGCTGAGAGGACGGTTTGGGTGATATTTGGAGACAAGATCGTTGATGTAATTTGGGGCAGAGTTATAAATGGCTTTATATGTTATTGTTAATCTTTTGAATTTTATCCGTTGGGCAATGGGAAGCCAGTGGAGGGATTGGCAGAGAGGGGTGGCAGACACAGAATGGTTAGTAAGGTGGATAAGTCTGGCAGCAGCATTCATGATAGACTGAAGAGGGGATAGTCCCAAACCAGGCGCTTAAGACCAACCTAGAGATAGGTGGTCCACGGCTAACAGTGAGTGCACATCCATGTGGGGCACCGATTGAGCACAGAGGAGCACCTGCCATTTTTACATGAAGTTCACCAATTAGTATTCAACACCTGGGCACTTCATTTTTCCGAATTTGGACTGAATGTTATAATTATTCACTTTGAATATGTGAAGCAATATTACTCATGTATTGTTAAATTTAATGCACTTAATTTCTGCGCGGTCCACGTGGTATTTTGTTTTTTTTTTTGTGTTATTGGTTCACAAATTAAGACTGCAGCGTATACTTATCAAAGTTGCATGAATATCTATTCCTAAGCGCAACAGCACCATATCTTATAAACTGTCACATTTGCTTGTGCTGTCAACCAAACTGTCAAAGGATCAAATAATTGTCATAATTGTGTGGCATGGCAGTTGCAGATCAAACAGCGGCTAAAGTGGCAGCTTCCTTGGCTGAAAAGGATAGAAGGGTTCAGTTCTGCTTTAACTCGGTTTCTTCCAAAGGTGTCTAGGGGTTCCTTGGTTGATCTCCTGTCTGCTGGTGCCTGCATAGTTCCAGGGCCATTGCCACTTGGCAGACCAGTGGCATGACACCAGTGATCATTTTACCTGAGTAGTATTCCGAAACCACTGTAAGGGAGGAATAATTCCCACCAACGTAAGGGGAGGGGGGGTTGTTGGGGGGAGTTCCAACTGATCTCCATTGAGTTTTAGCAGGGGTTCCTCAAGACTTGAGTGGATGACTGGATCTGCTGGAGGCTGGGGGGAGAGAGCC